GAGTGAGGGTTTTTCAAGTTCACCTTTCCATTATTTGTGTTACCTGGAGTAAGTCCTTTCTTTACCTTTCCCATCATGGCCCTAAATCTGGAGTTTGACTAAGTTCAGAGCCCTCCTATATGCCTTTTGGCTGAGCAATTTAGGGCGAGTTATTTAAACACAAGCCTTAGTTTCTTGTGTGAAGGTTGGAGATGATAATAAATACCTCATAGATTGTTATGAGACTTATATTAGATAATCCATGTTAAGGTTTTAGCACAATGCCTGACACATAGGAAGCACTTAATAAATAGAAGCTCCCTGAATTATTATCTATAAAAATAAATGAATGGGCTAAGTGGTCTTCAGCATCTGCAGCTACTCATGTCTCCTCTAGCCTCAACTCCATATTTTTACAGCCTCCCCAACTTTGACATCTCTCTTCAGGTTCAGCCTCCACCTGTAACAAAGGAAGCAATAAGATGACCAGTGAGGCAACAGAGATGAGTGTGAAGATGTGGTGATGCGGGCGAGGGAGGGAGGAATAGGGCTCAGTCCTCCTACAGCCACCCCCAAGACTGTTGGATATTGAGCCCAAGCATTTGATTCCCACGGAATACAGGATGAATGTGTTTATTATAGGGAGCTTGGTCAATCCACCTAGCTCATTTTTTACCTTTAATGAATAGAACACAGGAACTGTCAGACTGCTTGTGCCTGGTGAATGGAATAATATGCATGAATGAGTTTTGTAAACAGCACAGGTCAGATGTTGCTGTTTTTGCTGCTGTTGCTATAACTGAAAAACACCTTCTTTAAAAACCCAAAGGATATGGGCTCTTTGTCTACTTTCTTTAAGCCAGCACTAGCTGTTTGGATTAAACTGACCATTAGGCTTGAGGAATGTCTATCTTATCTATAGCTTCTCAAAGAAAAAAGAATCCTTCACAAAGGCAGTATAAATTAGAGATTAATAGTACAAGTTCTCGGGTTTCTGGATTCAGTTCCTTTCTGGTTATGTGTGGTCTTGGGCAAGAAGTTGCTTTAACTTCAAGCTTCAATTCGCCCTTCTTTAAAATGGGAATAATGCCCTGGCTGAATTGCTCAGTGGTTAGAGCATCAGATTGCACATGGAAAGGTCACAGGTTTGATGCCCATTCAAGGGCATGTACCTGAATTGCGGGTTCAGTCCCTGACCATGGTCGAGGCATATGTGGGAAGTAATATGTGGGTTACTTCCCACATATGTGTGTCTCTCACATCAATGTTTCTCTCTCTCCTCCTCCTCCTCCTCCTCCTCCTCCTCCTCCTCCCTCCTCCCTTCCCCTCCTCCCTCCTCCCTTCCCCTCCTCCCTCCTCCCTTCCACCCTCTCTGAAAAGCAATGAGGGGAAAATATCCTCAAATGAGGATTAACAAAAAGTAAAATAGGGATAATGATTGTATATACACAGAAGGATGCTATGAAAATTAAAGGAAGTGATGAATGTAAGGTCTTGGCATAGTGCCTGGAATGGAGGTATCCTATAAGGGTTGGCTATTACCATTATTAAAATAATAGAAGAAATAATATAGACAGTGTTATCTATATTTTAAATAATTAAATATTATCTACAAATATAGGTAATACTTTCTATCTCTAACAAAAGGATGAGTAATGGAGGAAAGTGGCAAAGAAAAGGATGCGACGAAGCAACTCAGCTCCATGGAATCTGTGTGCTATGGTCATTTCTCAAAATCCTCAAACCTGTGGAGGCTGCTGCAAACCCCCGGCCCCTGGGATCAAAAATTCAATTTAAAATTAGTCCAAGCATCATACTAATGCTTCTATTTGAAGTGTTGTAACCAGAGCTTTCCTATTACTGACCCTAGAGAGAAAGGAAGTACTGAGTAGTCAGGACCTCCTATTGGAGGGCTGAATACCCCCGCGCAGCTGTAATGAGATGTGTCACATACTGAAGCCTAAATCTGGGCAGTGCCAGGAAGCCTGCGGAGATTTATCAAACCTACTCTATTCATTCACTCGCAAAGGTGGCATCTCTTCCGTGACCAATGGGATTTTTGAATAGAGAGGAAAATTTGAAATGTGGGAGTCAAGGAAATAATTAGATCAATATTGTCTATACCAGGAGCTGGAAAACATTTTCTGTTTGCACCAGATAGTAAATATTTTAGGTGTTGTGAAACCATATAGTCTCTTTCCCATCTACTCAACTCTACTGTTGTAGTGTGAATAGCCGAGGCTGTGTGCCAGTAACTCTTGATTTACAAAACAGGTGGCTGGCTGGATGGGCCCATGGGGCATAATTGCTGAGCCTTAGTCTATACGAGGGACTTAATGCAATGACTCAAGTTGTCAGAATGACCTGGGCTAAAGCTCAGATAAATCAAACCTGATGTCAAAGTGTGTGTTGGCTAGAGATTAGCTGACCTAACACATGGGACTTCAGACCGAAAATGAAGAGAGAGGCAATAAAATGCTTAAGTTGAAATGGAGAAACTTAGCTTCTGGAGAAGAAAATAAGAATAACATGGAAAAAAATTACAACATACAGGACTCAGGAATTCACATTGGAAGCTGGGTAGGGCTCTGAAACATTATTCGCAGCCTTATTTTTCTATATTCTAAGGCAGCAATTTTCAACCAGTGTGCCGCAAGCATTTTTAAAACATGTAATACCTGTCTATTTAGTCAGGGGCACTCACCTCTTTTCCCTTAGATTGTTAAATTTTAAAAATGACATCAGCCAATACAACAATTGCCATCCAGTGTGAATGAATCGAAATTATACCTATTTTTATCATTTCAGCAAAAAATATATATATTGTGTGTGTACCACAGAATTTCAGTGATTAGTTTGTGTGTCATGAGATGAAAAAGGTTCTAAGGTTCAGAGCATGATTAATAACTCAGCGCACTCACATTTCTGTTTGCTGGGGACTGTCCTAGTGTGCCCGATGTTCCTGTGTAATTATCAATACTACCGCTGTTTAAAGAAGTCTCCTAGGCATGGCCGCTATGGCTCAGTGGTTGAACCTAGACCTATGAACCAGGAGGTCACAGTTCAATTCCCGGTCAGGGCACATGCCTGGGTTGTGGGCTTGATCCCCAGTGGGGGGCATGCAGGAGTCAGCCAATGGTTCTCTTTCATCATTGATGTTTCTATCTCTCTCTATCTCTTCCTTCCTCTCTGAAATCAATAAAAATATATATATATATCTTTAAATGGCCCTTTCCACCCAGTTTCAAAGGGCATTGTACCAAGTCCAGTGATACATTCCATTTATTATTTAAATGTAAATCTCAGATAAATGCAAGTGTAAACCTTAAGTGAACATATTCATTATTAGGGTTGTTTTATAATCTGAAGCATCACATTTACCTTGGACGTAGGCGCTTGATTCTTTCTCGCGTTTGCTTCTGTTTTGTGGTGAGCCCATTTGTCTGCTTTCTGTGAAGTGTCTAGCTGACTCTTCTCTGTGTGGGCGCTCTGCGTAGAGTTCAGTACCCATTAATTCTGAACAATTCACATACAAATAGGTAGTTTAACCTCACATATTTCCCCAAGGCCTGAGGAGGTTGACGCAAATATAAACAGGCTTGGAAGAGCTGCTGAGATTTTTAGCTGAGACTTTAAAGAAATTCTTTTCTCCCTGGGACTTTCTGGTGATGGCTGTAATCCAGCTCAAGTGCTCCAGCGCTGTGTACACTGTTATCCTCCCTCCTTGATTCAGGCTCTCTGACATCCCTGGCTGTTTGAATTACACACCACAGGGATACACAGGGTGGACGATGCTAGTCCATCGGGTTGCATCAATCGCTTCTTAGATCCCTTTTCTGATTCTATTATTCTGTGACTGCTGAGCAGCCTGTTGTGTGGGGTTTTTTTTCCATTAGAAGCTCACACAACAGACATTTTTAAAGAGCCTATTGTTTTGAATGAATTAAGATAAAAATTAAAGCAAAAAATAATTTTAAGGGGAAAGATAACATGAAGTGTGACAGAGATATTATACTGGTAATATATCAAACCTAAAAGAATTTTGTGTCAATAATGGCAACCAATATGAAACCAATATTTATCAAGCATCTACTGTGTTCCAAGCACTGTATGTGTTGTATGATGATGATGATGATGGTGGTGATGATGATGCCAATAATAGCAGCTATATGCTCAGGACTTGTGACCACACAAATGAGGGAGGCATGGGCCCTGCCCTCCTAAAAACTTATGAGCTGGCAGGAAAAGCAGACATTGAACAAATCATTCCAAGTGTTACCTACTCTGTGAAATTGCAGGGTACAATGAGAGTCAGGGCCGACTCCTCTGAAGAGTGACTTCAAGGACTAGCTACACAAAGGGAAAGTAGGGTTAAGTTCCTATGGCATCTTGTCAGCATTATAATGAAATTACATTGAATGAAATATTATTTGAGGACCTACTGTATAGCATAAAGACAGATGAGCATGAAAGAGATACAGTCACTACTTTGGATCAGGCCCACAGTATTTCAATCTCAGGATGCAAAGTTTTAAGTTGGTCTTTGTCTAGTTCTAACCAAGGAGGAGCACAATTTATTACCTTAACCATATAGTATTTTGCCTGATAGGCACTTTATAATAACTAGATTTATTCTACGTGCCAGTTTATACCGCTTCTAAAAAATTGTCATGGGTTCTCAATATAAAGCAGAAAGTTGTTTTTGTATTTTCTGTTTATTGTTTCCATCTCTTTGCTTCTGAAGATAGAACAAATACTGATGTGAAAGCTGGGATATGAAAGAGCATCTCCCTCCTATGTCTGCATATTTCTATATGCATATTTATGCCTGTGTGTGGCATAGAATTCTACATTATTAGATTTCAAAGAGTGATGGAAAAAGAACATTTTGAAAACAATTCTAAGACTAATTTATATTAAAGACATTTCTTTTTTTTTTTAAGTATCAAATTAACATGTTTATTTGTATCTATAAACTTCCCATATCTCATTGTAAAGACATTTCTTTTTCTCCTTCATAGCTCCATCATCCATCCCAGGGCTTCCGCTTTGGAACTGTCCGGGAAAGCAGTGCTGAAGATTATGTGAGGCAAAGCTTCCCCGAGATGCATGAGTATATGAGAAGGTACAATGTACCAGCCACCCCCGATGGAGTGGGATATCTGAAGTGAGTGTCAGCCTCTTGGGGCCAAAAAGTTCTCACTGAGGCAGTGTTTGTTGTTGTTTTTGTTCTTGTTTTAAATGACAGTTCAACATACCTACTGTGTGTTCAGTAATACCTCACACTGTGTGAGATCCAGGAGACGGTATGGAATAGTTTGCATTTAATTATGGGACTAAGATTACTGCATAGTCCCAAGTTAGGAGTAGCTTTTCTCTAAATGCCAGTGGGGTCATTAGGGGAGCAGATGGTGGGGGAAGCAAATGTTGGCTTGACTTCACTTGAGAAAACAATGGTGCAGAAATGATAAAACACTCAGGGAATGTGGCCAGAAGGTAAAGTGTCCCAAAGCACCCATTTCCTTCACAGTGAATCTCTCTCCTCTTTTCACAAGGAAGAGGGATTTATCTTAGAGATTTCCTATAGACAGGAAATAAGATAAAAAGCAATGATCCCATGCCTGCATCCTTCCCATCAGAATCTGCAAGAAGCAATCAAGAGCAATGCCATTGCCATGGCAGATTACTGGAGCCTGTAATTCAGTGAGGCAGAATGCAAAGGAGGGTGAGTCGGTATGGATCAGCTCATCTAGTCGTCCTGGGAGAGGGGAAGGAATGGCTCCCAATAAGCACTCAGCATGAGAGTGAGTAGTCCTCTCCCTCCTGCCTAATGGTCCCAGGACAATGACATATAGTCAATCCTCCAAACCCTAGAATGGCACAGCATCAGGGAACTGGTTTCTCTATGGTTGACCACAATAATCTTCCCAAATTCTTTTTTTTTTAAGAAAGAAGGAAAACAAATAACTTCATGGGACAGAATGGCTGGCTGTGTGTTTCTCAAGATCCCTAGTAATAGGCCCCTAAAACAATCTTAAGGACTTTAAACTAGAGTCTAGAGAGGAAGCCCAGTGCTCTCAAATTTGCAACATTATATATGATGCTCAAATACTATGAAATGGTACTTTTAATTTTGCAAAAACATTAGAGTCCCTCTAAGACACAGAGTTAAGTGCTCCTTGGCCTCCCACTCCTCTTCTGTATTCTCTTCTTCAGGCAAAGTCGTGGCTGAGAGAGAGAATAAGATGTCAAGGAGATAATAGTGGCTTCCAGCTAGGTATCACTGGCTGACAAACCAGGTTCTTCTGGCACAAACGGGTATGATGGGACACTGGTGCTCTCCCCAGCTCCACCTCACTCAGGGCATTCATTTATTCTGGAAGCTTCACCTGAGAAGGCCCCAGTGCTCAGAGTTGACCCCACTCCAGCCTGGAGAGAAAAAACAGGTAGAAAGGCAGGTGCAGATGAAGAAGTTGAGGCCCAGAATAAACAACTTGCTCATGGTAATACAGCTAGCAAGTGGCAGACTCAGGACTAGAATCACGTCTCTAGAATCCAACCACAATAGGCTGGTCTAGGAACCATAACAGAAAAGTAGGACCCAGATGGTCAAAGAGTAGTCCGTGTTCCAGCAGCATCCGTGTTCCATTTGTGGACTCGTCACTGCCTGAGCTCTCAGCCACCACTCCAAGCAACTGCGGTCCTCATGTTACCTACCTGATATCCCAGAGCCCTGACCTTCAGGGCCCAACCCCTGGAGTCCTCCGTACAGGAAAGGTTCCTTCTGTGTGAAACCTGTCCCTCCCTCTCCTATCAAAATTTCCCTGGGCTTAGTCCTACTCACTTAGGGCCCTGATTTCTGACATGACGCTTTTCTTAAAAAGTAATCCCTATTTAAAGTATTCATTTCTTTTAGTATGTTTACATATGACTATGTTTTGTGTTTTATGTATTATGAAATGAATGTTCAAAAAGAGCACGAGTGTTTAATGAGAGAAACCCCTGGAGGCTCTACCAACTATAAGGATGATTCAGCCAGACTAGAAGCTGCTTATGCCCGACTCACACCCAGCCACTTCCTCAGTGGCTCAGGGGCCCATGAGAGTCTGTGAGCTTGCTTCTTGCCTCCCCATGTTATAGAGACCTGTCACAGCCAGCCGCACTTTGCAGTCTGAAATCAGTAATTATTTAAGGATACCACTGAGAATGGACCTCACGAATTACTTGTTAGGAAAACTGAGCCCCAATTTTTATTGCAACCGCAAATATTTGCAGAGTATTGGTAAATGGTGACTTGTTGCTCTATAGCTCCCAAGGTAAATTCTGCTAATATAGTGGTAAAACTTCGGAGAAACATCTTTCAATTCCACTTTTTTATTTTTATTGCCAAGATTCCATTAAGGTTCCTCATCCTCGGTTCCTGGAAGAGCCCTTTCTGAAGCTTCCCACAGCCGTAGAGCTAGGAGATATTCTTCATTTGGGGTAAAGTTAAACATGGGCCTCATTGTACGTTAAATCCAACACCCTGTGGAAAAGGGGATGGATTGTGAATTGGTGATTCTACTTCCTGGAAGAGTAGAAGGAGGAAGCAATGGCCACTGGCACCAAGAAGGAACTTGACCTACTTACTATAAGTCCACGTGTGCCCCAGACAAAGCCATCCGTGTAAAGATGCACATCTGCCCAATGATGAATCTTAGAGTCTGGGACTGGCTTTCTCTTTTAGATCTTGATGGGCCCTGGCCATGTTCTCTGTAATGAATTCCAACAGCCTCATTTCTGGCTCTAAGTGAGGAATGACTGAGCCCAGATGGGGCAGAGACGAGTTGTTTTTGCCCAGCTGTTTGGACAACCCTGAGAGTCAGAAAGCCTTTCTTAGATGGATGTATGTCCACATCTTTCCAAAAAGGATTTGAGGAGACTGAAAACAAGAGTCCTTGCATACAACTTAAACAATTCTCTTGGAAACTCCCCTTTCCTTACCCTCCCCACATTTGTGTAAGTGGGAACTCCTCTGGACCATCTCTGTGCCTGGATCCAAAAAATGGGGGGAAACACAGAAAGGACGCACAAGGCATCTATTGGCATCTTAATCCCAGCCCATGGCTGACTCACTGATACTATCTCGGGACACCTGCTTAAATGATTCTTGCCAGAACTGCTTCCTGGGATGAGAGTGAGACATGAATCTCTGGAGATAAATTAATAAAACAGATTACTAAGATCTATCACAGATTATTTCCCTTGCATTTATTGAAAGCTAGGCTGTAGACTTTAAAGAGACCTTAACTCCCTTTCCCCCGGGAATGCTAGATCTCTTATTTGCATTTCCTTATATCTCCTCCTAAATGTGAAATAATGCCGGGTCTCTGAAAAATAGGGTAGTGATCATGACAGAAAGAAATAAGAATATCCACGTGCTGATAATGAACCCACCTCGCTCCAACACTGACTCGCTATGTAGCCTGGATCAAGTTACTTTGACTCTCTGAGCCTCAATGTCCTCATCTGTTAAAATGGGATAGCACCACCCTCTCGTGATTTCATGTCAGTGATGAAATGTATGGAGAATAATAATTACAATGCCTAGCACACAAAAAATCCTCAGTCAGCGTAAGAGAAATGAACCTTCTTGTTCAATTCAGAGTCACTCTGGCTCATTTGTTGGTTCTAGAAGTAATGGTGGATAAACCCGTTGGAAAGAGGTCATGCACTCTCATAAGAGAGGCTCTTTCCCCTGGTCTCTGCTCTACAGGTCAGTGAGATGCCAACAAGGCTGAGTCAGCAGCTAGCTAGCTCTTGCTGCCCTTCGTGTCCAGGTTTCTGTCCCCTAAACAAAAGCCAGCCGTCAGCCTTCGTGCTTCCTGTTCATTAAGGAATCATTTTTCACTTTTCTTCTCTTGGTCTCAAATGTAGGAATGATCCAGAGAAACTAGACGCCTTCATCATGGACAAAGCCCTCCTGGATTATGAAGTGTCAATAGATGCTGACTGCAAACTTCTTACGGTGGGGAAGCCATTTGCCATCGAAGGTATTAATCAGTCACTCTTAATTCACTCTTACTCGGGATGTGCTCATTTTGCCAACCTAGCAAGTCAGAGACGCCAAAGTCAGAGGCAAAATGCTATTCATCTTCCCTGGTTTTCATTTTCAACGCATAAGCACTTAGCTATTAAGTTGCTGAAGTTAGGAATTTATTTTTCACCTACTCCACAAACATGTATTTACCCACTGTTAGGAAGAGGGGGGAAAAAAAGAAAACATTGTTGTTACTCAAATGATGTTGCTGCAGATACCTGGGAGCGGTGGCGTAGTGTCATAAATGGGGAGTCCAATTTTAAATTAATCTTTATTTTCCAGTGGCCAAATACTATAATGAATCTGATGCAAAAAACTAGAATGATTGCATTTTACCACTGGAAGGACCCCAATGTTGAGCTAACCTAATCTACTCACTTTATACAGAAGAAAGCCTGGGGACGTTACATCACTTTTTCATAATCACAGTTAGGTGATAATACTGGAATTAGTATCCCAACCTCGTGGTTCTTAAATAAATGTTTTCCTACTAGTTGGAAAACAAATAGAAAAAAATCTCATTCTGTAGCTTAGTAACCTTTAAGAGTACTAACAAAACCTTGTTTGGGACCTCAGGTTTGCCTCTCTCCCCACTGGCAGCAAACTTTTGCTTCCAAGTTGATCAACCAATCAATCAAACTTCAGGACCAAAGAAGGAGTGCTTTGTCAGTAGCTCCTTTCATTCTGGACAACAGTTGATATATGGAGCTGGTAGTTTGAACCAGCAAATTTCATGTCTCCCAGCTCTCAGCTTCCCTCCCCTGACAGTATACCCTGACCCTCAAGACAGCCATGTTCACTTGTCAGAAAACACTTTAACTTGAAACAGTCCCAGGGCAGGTGTCCAAGTCCTGTTTCCATAAAACTGTATTTTCCTGTATGTTAACTAGTGCAGCGAGACTATTGTGATTCCAGTTTTCCAGCTATAGCTGGTCTCTGTCTCCCCTAAACACATCAGCAAATTTTGTACTTAAGTCTTTGCTTTTGTGATGAATGAGAATATAACAGCTGATGCTATTTCTTCATGCCTTCTCCTCAGAAAAAAAATCAATCTCCTCTCCAGGCAAAGTGACCTCCACCTGAACCAGGGATAGAATTCAGGAAGAGAGAGATTACATGGTAGTGGTCTTCTATTAAGGCTGCAGTCTGAGCCCAGACAGCGTGGCTCAGTGGTTGAGCACCAACCTATGAACCAGGAGGTCACGGTTCAATTCCTAGTCAGGGGACATGCCAGGATTAAAGGCTCGATCCCCCATGTGGAGTGTGCAGGGAGCAGCTAATCAATGATTCTCTCTCATCATTGATGCTACTATCTCTCTCTCCCTCTCCTTTCCTCTCTGAAATCAATAATATATCTTAAAAAAAAAAAAAGACTGCAGTCTGAGATAGCAAAGTCACAAAAAGAAAAAGAAGAAAGTTTAAAAACCCAAAGAACATTTATTATATAACCCCATTTTGATGTAGCAATGGAAAATTCCCATTTTTGTGTGTGGATTTTGCAGATATAGAAGGGATGTTACTTTCTTTCTGTCCTAGATTCACTGGGTAATTGAGGTCCCTTCTGCCATTAGCAGCTACTAAACAATGAATCATTGATCGGGGGCATAAGAATGAGGGACTCCACTTCCCACCTTCTCCACTTCAGAGAGCAACGCTGTCTTGTCAAAAGGCTGTAGTGAGATGGCTTATTTGCCTCTGCTGGACCCCAGTGCCAGATGCCACACAATTAACTCCTGCTGACTCCCTGTTTACATTTCCATCTGAGCGCCTGAGACTTCTCCTCTTGCCATTCTCATCATCTCCAGACACCACAGTGTCTTCAAAGGGGATAAGCACAAAAATGGCCCATGGAAGAGCTCTCCCTGCAAGAGAGCAGAAAGGCTACAGACTTGAATTGAGAGAGCATTCTCATCATCATTGTTGGTTTATTCTGGGGAGGCGGGGAGAGGGCGGGGAACTATTGCTCATTTATTCTGGGTGAGGTGCAAATCAGAAAATTTAATTCAATACTGCCCCTGGCAACAATTTCACAACCTAAAAACAGAACTTGGTAAAACACAAAGAGAACTTACTTCTAAGTTATAATCAGCAATGTGATGAAAATACTAGGGAAAGGCTTGATTGCTGCTCTTTGAAAAAGCATGTTAATTTATAGATTTTTAGGAAATCTCTCTCTCTCTCTCTCTCTCTCTCTCTCTCTCTCTCTCTCTCTATCATTTATCTTCATTGTTGAAAGTATTACACATGCCCCTTCTTTTTCCCTGTTGATCCCCCTCCACGCCACACCCCCTACCACAGGCCTACTGCAGGGAATCTTTCTCTCTTAATGAAATTTTAAAAAATATTATCTGCTTTCCTCTAACAACATTTAGGTTTCTGGAACTTATGAAAATGTAGACTTCATTATTAATTCATTAGACTTTATAGGCATAAAAATATCATCAAAGCAATTTATGAACAATTTTTACTTACAGGACTGTTGCATATGTCTGGTTCCTTTCACAGGATCTAGGCATATAACAGTTATGTGATACATGATGTATTACCCATTACATAACTCATTAGGTTAGATTTGAAATAAGTACTTAATTCAGTCGCTAATGTAGTCATCAAAAGAACCCTGATGTTCTGCATGCACTTTTCCAGGTGCTTAAATGACTTTGGGAACTTAGGAGGGAAAATGGAGTACATTGATTTCTTCACGCTCAATGTACATTCACTCTGTATAGTACTGATATCACACCACCCACCGTGACTACTGAATCCACCCCCAACTTCACCATTAACCATTGATTTAGGCTGGAAAGAGAAAAGGTGAGGCAAATGAGAGAGACAGTGGCTCCACGCTGAGTTTGAAACCTTTTCATGAGTACTTAGCACAGCAAACCAAAACTATTAGGAATTTCAGAGCATGTGGAAAAGTCATTTCACATACTATATACACCAGAGAAAACAACGACATAACGTGTGCTCTGCGGGTTGGGGAAAGGGGAAGAAAGTGTTGAGATAAATGAACACATGTCCCAAATGTATGCATTGGAGTGAGCTGACAATAAAGGTCAAACGAGAAAAAAGAAATGGAACTGCACAGTAATGATTTGTGACCTTTCTGCCAAAGACCTTTGCCCGTTTTTGAGTTTGTTCTCTTACTTGTTTTCCACTAATTATTGAATACAGTGCTTGGAGCACCAGCTGTGAATGTGAGTGCTTGGGTTAGAGCAGAGCTGCTGTTACTCCTGTGCTATGTGGGGCAGGTCTTCAGGTTCCTCATCTGCATAATGGGTTTATGAACAATATATCTAGGATAGGGTTGTAAAGATTGGGTAAAGTAAGACATGTAAAGTATGTACAAGCACATAGAAAGTGCCTAATCAATTATTATTCAATATGTTGAATTAAGAGATTAAGACCAAGTCACATAAAATTGCCCCAGGTAGAGAGCCTTCAGATACTCAGCTTCTCCCACACACTCCCTCTCCACTTCGATGTGCTGGGGATAAACGAACCTCATTTTTAGTGTCATCTTTATAGTTGAGACTATTTCAGTATGTTCTCAACCATTGCCCCAGAGTAGCTAAATATGCTATTGCAAGGACTGGCTGCAAAACTGAATTAGTCTTTTAGTCTTTCTTCCTGAACGCCCCCCCCCCCTTTTTTTTTGTATGCTACCTGAAATCTTATTTTCAAAATACCTATTTTCCAACCACATTTCAGGAAGTTCTCTTAGTCCATGAATTTTTAACTATACATTTCCTAGCCAAAATACATTTCCACCACTCTTAGCTGAGTAAAGCTGATTTAGCCATGGGGAAAAGATCGGGATTCTATTCTGAAAATTGTTCTTTTGGGCTATTAAGCTGTATGCAATTTCCAGGGTGCCTGATGCCTTCATCTTTAGGGTTGAAGGATTCCATTTTGCTTCATCCATCAACCACAAAATAGTCAACCTCGTCTTTATTGCAAAACCATGTTTCTAATGATAACGAAAGCAGCTCAGGCTGCTAAGTTGAGTCAGCAATTTAAAAAGAAGAATTCTTTGACCAATGAGCACATCAAATTCGAAAAGCAACTGATAAAGAGAGGATGGGGATGAAACCTATGAAACCTTCTAACTTTTACTATTTTATGTTTCTGAATAAAATGGAATTTTATGTCTTTTAGCAAATACCTCTTCTCATTGCCATGTAACTTTTTTCCTATTTCTCCCCTTGATAGTTTAATTACCTAATAATTATTATTAATGTTAAAAATCATTAACATGACAATATTCAATCTATGCAATAAAATGGAAAATTAAAAAGGACAGTAATCTATTTTTAGCAATCGCAGCTTAACTTTGACATGATGGAGTGGAGTGATTTAAAATTTATTATTTCCTATGTAGCAATTTTTTATAAATGTCTCTGCAACTTCAACATAGCTTTTTCCCTGGGGCAATTTTTATACTTTTGTTGTCGTGCCAAAATTCTTTTCTTAGCGTATGTAGATTTATTATAAGTATTAACTTCAGATTTTTAAACTGTCTTATCATGTATTTTTGTCACATCTTCCCAAAATACCACGGTAAGAATCAGTCTCAATTGTCTTCTCTCATCCTCTCCTATGGTAGCAACCTATCATTCCTCTGAACTCCACAGAGTTTTATCCATTTTCCTCCTTGCATCCTCGTCATTATATTTCACCCATATTGAATTTATGCCTCACCTATCTTTTTTCCCAAGAAAAGCCCTGTGACTTCCCACCATGTTGTATAGTTATATATGTGTGTCTCATCTCCCCATGTCACCATGAGCTTCTCATGGCTAGACCGAGTGTCTGATTGAACTTGGCAGCCTCTACAGCACTTGGCAGAGTGTCTGATACAGAATGAGCATTCACTACATGTTTGTGGGATTGATGAATAAATGCATAGGAGTGCAACAAATGCTTATCAAGTGAAAAATGAAAACCATTCTGCCAATACTACACGAAGGTGGGCTGAGTAATTTAAGAAGATTCGTAGGGGGAGTAATAGAGTCAGGGAGCATCCTTGCTAGTTAATTTCCAGTGTATAGATGGCATATCTGTCTATACACATACACACATTTACATGGACAAAATATGCCCATGAATGATATATTTGTGTCTGCTGTTGAAAACAAACCACCAGTTTAGATGATTGTGGTTTTGTACTGAACTGCTGCCTAGTTTGGGGGGATCACATCAATATGACTGTGGTGATACGGCCTGCATTGAAGGGGCGGAAATAGCCAAGCATTTCCTTGACTTGGTCACATGCTATACTAGATACAGTGGACAGAGCACTGGCTTTAGACTCAAACAGACCTATTTTCAAACGCTAGCTTTGCCAACTACATTGGGCAGTTTACTTATTCAGTCTTTAATACTTGAGGAATACATATTCTGCTTGGGTTACTAAAGGAATTAGACACACAGTCTGGCACACAGTAGGTCTCAGTATGTTCTAGTTCTTATAATTAGAATTTCAGAGTGATTTCACTGAACTGTATGCCACACTCTAGTACACTATCTTAGTCTACTGCAGTAGTTCTCAACCTTCCTAATGCCGCGACCCTTTAATACAGTTCCTCATATTGTGGTGACCCCCAACCATAAAATTATTTTCGCTGCTACTTCATAACTGTAATTTTGCTACTGTTGTGAATCATAATGTAAATATCTGATATGCAGGATGTATTTAGGCGACCCCTGTGAAAAGGGTCGTTCGACCCCCAAAGGGGTTGCAGCCCACAGGTTGAGAACCGCTGGTCTAGTGCATGATCTGCAAAACAGGGTAAGGTTTGCAAAAGGTTTATTATAGAGCAGGACTTGGTATATAATAAGCCCTCGATAAATATTAGATGTATTTGTCGTTGTTGTTGAAAACTATTGCCACAGGGGCTGATTATTATTGTTTTTTTATAGTATTTTTGTTAGTTACAGACTATTAGATATAATAGTTTGTAATATATTGTGAAAAAATATAATAATATTCAGCAAACCAGGCCTACTTATCCTGACCATTAACCCACTTCCACGAGAGAGTTCCAATTCCTCCTACTATATGTTTGTAGATGCCCCAGTTCTTCATCCTCATGGCACTTATCTCAATGTAATAAAATAATCATTGTACAGTCATTGTTTAATATCTGTCTCCCTAATGGAGTGGATACACTGCAGCTACAGGGGCCATATCTGCCTTGCTCACTGCTAAATCCCGACCACTCAACACAGTGCCTGTTCACTCAGTGTATTTGTCCATGGAATGAATGAGTGCATCAGTAAGTCAGTGAATATTATTATACACGGGCCTAGGATTGTGCCTGGCATGTAAATAACTATTGAGTGAATGTATGTGCGACGGAACTGTCAATAGCATTCATTATAAGAAACGTTTCTAAAGAAAACTCCTACATCCTTGCAATTACCCATCACAAAAAAAATGTTATTTTATGATAACATCTGCAGAACAGGCTGCTCATGTAAAGCCTTTTATTCTCAGTCTCGCCTTTCCAACCAAAACTAGGCACAAAACAGGCCCTCAAAATAGCTTTGTATATTAAAAATTCTAATCATGCTCTTGACATTGTCAACATTTCCTTGACTTGCCATTGTTAAGGAACAAACAAAATTACCAGGGAAAGGAAACATGCAGCTCTTCAAAACTCAAAAATTTTTTCCGCATTAGTTATGTCTTTTCTTTTATTGGTTATGCACACATCTCAGACCGCATCCTTTTTTAAGGAAGGATTTGTGTAATTTATGTCTCTGCAATAAAAATAGGAACAAAAACTAATCTACTTGGAAATAAATTGTTAAGATACAATAATTATGGCAGGTATTTGTCACCGGTAAATATCTTTGGACTCGTGACAGCCTGTTAGTTTTTATCTGTGAAAAAGAAAGTAACTATATTTTTAGTTTATCTTCCTCAATTATCTTGAGGGCAAAATATCTTTTTTTTAAATTATCCTATTCAATAGCTCAAGATAAAATGCAGGTAATTAGCTCTTCCACATAGCTCATCAAAGAGATTCACAGTGCAGTAACAGTTTGGAAAGCAAATAAAGCCACACAGAGTGAGGCTATAGGGTCCAAGCTGCTTAACAGAGCTGACCCCAAATTCCCTCCACCTGTGTTCCTCCCGCATTCTTTCCCCTGACTCCCTCGCCTTCAGTAACTACTATCCTGGACTTTTGGTTTATCATTCCCTTGATGTTTTTTCTAAACATACTTTAATCACATACATATGAATCCCTAAAAATAGTTTCATTTTGAATCTTTTTACATTTACACAATGGATTCATGCTGTAATTTTCTGGAACTGGCCCTTTTCACTCCGTATCTTTTTTTTTTTTTTTAATATATCTTTATCAATTTCAGGGAAGAATGGAGAGGGAGAGAGATAGAAACATCACTGATGAGATAGAATCATTGATCACCTGCCTCCTGCACGCGTGAGGATCAAGCCCGCAACCAGAGCATAGGCCCCTACTGGGAATCGAACCATGACCTCCTGGTTCATAGGTCCACGCTTAACCACTGAGCCACTGTGGCCAGGCTCAGTCCATATCTTGTTGCTAAGAGTCATCGTATTATTGCATGTAGTTATAATTAATATGTTTTACACTATATAATATTCCAGTTGTGTAAATATTCCACAATTTATTTTCCTTCCTCTTGTCAAAGCACCTTTGGGTTGTTTGCAGTTTTTGCTATTGTGAACAGTGACTCTCATAGCATATCTCCTGGTGTGTTTGTGGAAGACTTTTTTGAGAATGTACTTAAAACTGCTGGTCTTAGAGTATATAAACGTTCACCTATACAAAATTTAATGAGTACTTGAAATATCAAACTGTTTTCCAAAGGGGTCATATCAGTTTGCATGACCATGAACAATGTGTAAGTAATCTTACTGATCTGTCCTCTCCCACACTTGGCATTACCAGATTCATTTTTTTAATCGTTGAAGTTAATTATAAGTTGTTATTGATATTTTAGTTATGCTACAGCATATGTTTCATGGTCTTATTATTTAAAAATAAACAAGATAAAAGTAAAAGAGGGTCAAGCATGACCAATGATGAGACTATGTCATAAACCAGATTATAATTACAACCCACTTGTGTGTACTTCAGGTCTAGAGCAGGGATGGGGAACCTTTTTTCTACCCAAGGCCATTTGGATATTTATAACATCATTCCTCGGTCATACAAAATTAACAGCTTGAAAATTAGCCTGCTATATTTAGTCAAACACTTAATTAACTCACCCCTGATGCCATGGCAGGGCCAGGCCAAATGATTTTGCGGGCCTTATACAGCCTTCAGGGCAGACGTCCCCACCCCTGGTCTAGAGGAAGGGCTCTAGCAGAGGCAGATAGGGGATCCTAGCCCTGCTTAAGACCTCAACGATGGCTTCCAGGAAATATCTTGAAAGGAAGCGCAGAGGCATTGGGATACAATGTGCCACCTGTATACTATGCACAGCCCATTCCTCTCCTTTCCAGACTCATCTACTCTGAGGGGCAGCAGTTCGAAGGTAGTCATACCTTAGGTACCTTTTGAGTCCTTTGAAGGCAAGATGGTGATGGTTCACCCTACCCTTGTTACCAGGCCTAATGGCCATATCACACGAGTGTAGTAGCAACCTCTTAGAAGCCTCTCCGTGAAAAACTCAATCTGAGACTATCTTTTCTCCTAGGATATGGCATCGGGCTCCCACCCAACTCTCCACTGACCTCCAACATATCTGAGCTGATCAGTCAATACAAGTCCCACGGGTTTATGGATGTGCTGCACGACAAGTGGTACAAGGTGGTTCCCTGTGGCAAGAGGAGTTTTGCTGTCACCGAGGTAAGGGAAAACTGCGGATAACGTTAACGCTTTGTACAGCTTTACCTTGAAGAATAGGTGTTGGGTTTTTTTTTTTAACTGAAAACAACCAATTCCCTTTTATAGATGTGAAACGAATACCCAGAGATCTTAAGTGATTTGCCCACGGCATACAGATAATCAGAACCTGCTTTCATGGCAATGCTCTGCCTTTACGATGTAATTATAAAGAAACCTGCAAAGTGAGCCAGAAATTGGATGATTAAGATAGGAAACTAAAAGGTGAACCAAGAGCCCCGAGAGCTGAGGCATTTAAAAAAGAAGCCAAATAAACCAGCACAAGGTCAGCCTGACATTTAAAAGAAGAAGAAGAAAAAAAAAATCTAAAGCCAACGATAATGGCTTCAAACAGCTTGTATTTACCAATGACGCCCAACTATGTATTTCCACACAGACTCTTCTCCTGAGTTCCAGAACCATGTATCTGATTTCCTATTTGACATCCCCACGTGACTATTCTATAAGCATCTCATATTTAACTTGTCAAAAGCCGAATCCTTGATCTTCCTGCCTAACTGTGCTCTTCCTCCCGTGCGTCACACCTTGGCAATGGTACCTCTGTCCATCCGTTACTGCTTCCATAAGCTGGCAGGTGTCCTTAATGCCTCCCACGTCTCACCCTCTATATCCATCAGCAAGCCACATCTCTTCTTTCTATCAAATATGCCCCAAATATGCCCATTTGTTGCCATCTCCACGGTCATCACTTTAGTCTCCAAGCCATTGTCCCTCACCTGGGCCACTGTAAAAGTCTCCCCACTGGTCTCTCTGTTTTCATCCCCGCCTTTCTTCAGTTAGTTCTCCACATGGTAGATCACGGTTCTGCTTAGGAGCCTGCAATGGCCTCATGCTAATTAGGGAACAATCTAAAGTACTGGGCATGGCCTGCAGTGCCCTGTGGGATGCGGCCCTGCCTCAGTCTTCAGCCTCATCTCATGCCACTTCCTCTCAGATCATTACAGCCCCACCACTGGAGTCATTTTAGGGAGAGATACCCCAGTGGCTTCCCTGCCTTCGGGTCTCTGCACATGCTGTTGCCTCCTCCTCCTTAAACACTCTTCCCCCTGACACTTACCCAGCTGATGCCTTCTCATTATAAACTCCCAGCTGAAATCTCCCTTCTGCAGAGCCTGCCATTGCTCCTGATTCGATCTGAATCATATCTCCCTTTATATCTCATCTCTCACATTATTTCATAGCCCTTAGCCTCGTTTAAATTTTATTATTCATTCACGTGTATTTAATCAGTTATTATATTAGTGTAGTTCTCCTTCATTTAGATTATAGGACCTCAAGGGGCAAACATGTTGTTTACTGTTCTGTTCTCAATGCCTGCTTCATAGTAGGCACTCAGTAAGTAAATGTGGAATAAATGAACCAGAGAAACCAAACAATATATATGAGAAGACGTTGGGAAGCAAAAGGTCAGAACATAAAGCAAGTGTGATATTGGTAGTATGTTAGGTTGAATAATGTCCCCCACAAAGTTAACGTCTACCCAGAACTTCAGAATGTGACCTTATTTGGAAATAGAGTTTTTTCGGAGGTAATTCTTTAAGACTAGAGGCCCAATGCATGAAATTTGTGCAAGGAGCTCGGCCCTCACAGGCCCGGCTGCCTCGGCCCTTGCAGCCCCGGCTGCCTTCCAGCCCTGCGGCCCCACTTCCCCCCCCCCCCCCCCCCGCCCACTGGTCGTTCAGGAAGGTCATTCTACCATCCAGTCTATTTAGCATATTAGCTCTTTATTATCCTATATAATAAATAGGTAATATGCAAATTGACCCTCACACTATAACACCGTCATTAGATGGCTATGCCCACAGCAGAGGTGGGGGTTCCTGTAACGAGCCGTAACAAGCAATCAGCAGGGACCTGAGGCTGCATAGCAGCAGGCCAGGTGGGGGGTACCTGAGGCCACAACCCCCACCAGCGGGGCTTGACAGAGGACGTCAGGCTGCACCCCCCCCACCTGGCAGGGCTTAACAGGGGACCTCAAGCCCCACCCCTGCCCTGCGGGGCTTGACGGGGGACCTCAGGCGGTACCCCTCGCCTCAGTGCCAGGCTGGGGGACCTGAGGGTGTGCCGGGGGACCTGAGGCTGCGTCCCCCACCTGGCGGGGCTTGACCGGGGTGGGGCCAGCTGGGTCTGGATCTCACCCAATGGGGGTGGGGCTGGCCAGGTCTGGGTCTCGGCGCGATTTCGAAGAGCATGCAGGTGGATGAGGACTTCACTCTGGGTCCCATGGTGCACCCCAGACTCTGATAGGATAAAAATTTTCATATACATTTTACTAATTTTCTTTCATCTCTGATACTTCTATTATAGAGAAAGGGCAAATAGCAATATTAAAATGTTTCCTCTAATTAATTCCCTTTTAATGTGCATGAATTTCATGCACCGGGCCACTAGTATAGGATAAGATGAGGCGATACTGAATTGGGTGGCCCCTAAATCCTTACAAGGCCATGTGTAGAGACATACAGGGAATAATGCTGGCAGTATGGGAGAACAGCAGGTCATCCACAAAAATCTGCTCTCCCCTCCCCCACCATAAGCCAGCTGCAATTTGAACAGACCATCCAACCTGAGAAGGAAGGTGGGGGCGGGGGGAGGATAAGAGATCAACCAAAGGACTTGAATGCGTGCATATAAGCATAACCAATGGACACAGACAGGGGAATGAGGGCCTGTGCTGGGGGGGCGGGAGTGGGCGTGGAGAGGTTAATGGGGGGAAAAGGAGATATATGTAATACTTTCAACAATAAGGAATTTAAAAAATAAAAAAGAATGGGTATGCAAAATGGGCAGTTTACAGGTAATATTGGCTGAGAGTTGCAAAAGCCTGAGGGTATGCAAAGGGTTGGGAGTTTTCAAAGGGCTGGGGTTTTTCAAATGACTAGGGTGTTCAAAGGGCTGGCTTCTCTGGTTTCTGCAGCCAGTAAACTTCCTCATATTTCATTGGCCAATATTGTGTCATCAGCTCATGTCTAAACCAATCCATGGTGAGAGTAATGGGATCCCCATGATAACTTACCAACTGTGACTCACCCCCTGGGTTTGGTGATGCGACCGCTTCTCTTGAAACACACTCACACGGATCAGAGTGAAGACCTAAACAAAAGCAGAACTCCTTTAGGAAGGAGAAGACAAGAGAGTGGATGCTAAATTGACAACCCATTACTTCTGCACCGGCTCTGTGGATGGGAAAGTTGCTTCTCTCTCTCAACTGGCCCACTTCCAGCCAGTGTATATGTATATATATACACACACACATACATACACACACAGTGAGGTATTTGGGTTTGATCATCCTGAAGAGCCCTCCCAACCTAGATACAGTGACTGTGGTTTCCCTTTATAGCATCCTGGTTTACAGTTGTGATATGCAAACCACAGAGTTTATTCTTGTATTATTATTTATTAACTAGAGGCCCAGTGCACGAATTAGTACATGGGTGGGGCCTGGCCAGCCCCGCCCCAATCAGGGCAGATCAAGGCTGGGCCTGTAGAAGGAGGAGATGGTGGGAGGTTTGCCAGCCAGCCTACCCCAATCTGGGCCAGCGGGCCCCACCCCCGATTGGTGTTGGGAGGCCAATTGGGGGCGGGGCCGACCATGGGGAGGGGTGGTGGGCCAGCCGGCCCTGCCCCCAAATGGGGTGGGGGGTGCCGACTGGGGACCAACAGTCTGGGGGAGGGATCATGGGTGGTTGGCCAGCCAGCCCTGCCCCTGATCGGGGTTGGGGGTCCGATGTGGGGTGGGGCCGGCCATGGGGAGGGGCTGTGGGCCGATCAGGGTGGTGGGGGCCCATTGGGGGTGGGGCCAGCTTGGGAGAAGGGGCTGCAGGCCTATCGTGGTGGGGTGGGCCAATCAGAGGTGGGGCTGGCTGGGGGAAAGGGCAGGGGGTTAGAGGGGATGTTTGGCCAGCCGGCCTCGCCCTTGATCAGGGTGGGAGAGTACCATCAGGAGTGGGTCGGCTAGGGGTTGGGGCTGCGGGAGGTTGGCTGGCCGGCCGCACCCCCTGATCGGGCCGGTTCGCTGGCCACAGTGAGCATGATAGTGACCAGTCGTTGCGGTCCTTACGGTGTTACGGTCACTGGCTTTTTATGTATATAGATTACTATATTATTATCCATCTGAACAACTGTAAATAGTTCTAGGTTTGAACCTTTCTAGCTATGTGATACTGGACATGTTACTCGGCCATTCTGAATCTCAGTTTCTGCATAACCATCAAGTTATTGTTGAGACAACTCTGGTCCCGCTTTCCAGGTCAGCTGAATTTAGAAGGGAGAGAGAAGTGTAGGAAAGAGGAGAATGGAAAAGAGGTATATCCTTAGTCGGAACTTCAGAGACAGAAATAAAGAACTTCAGCCCAGCCGGTGTGGCTCAGTGGTTGAGCATCAACTTATGAACCAGAAGGTCATGGTTCGATTCCTGGTCAGTGCATATTCCCCAGTTGAGGGCTTGATCTCCGGTAGGGGGCATGCAGGAGGCAGCCAATCAAGGATTCTCTCTCATCATTGATGTTTCTATCTCTCCTTCTCCATTCCTCTCTGAAATCAGTTATACATATACAAAGTAAAGAAGATTCTGATGACATTCGTGTGTGTAGAGCTAGGAGGCCCAGCCTCAGCCTCGGGGGATATTATGAACACACATGGAGCTCTTCTTTCTCAGGGATGGTGGTCTGCACTATGGCAGATCCTGGCCTAGGCAATAACAAACTGCTTTTAATAACACTCACCTGTGTGCATTTAAACAACAGTACATATCCTTGTGGCACATTGTCTGGAACAACCCAAGACAGAATTTCAGGATGTCACCGAACCTAAAGATGGAATGGAATGAAATGAAGCCAATCTTCAGCTCATGGATTGAACTTCCACGAGTCTCCACCTGTTTGCTGCCTCTTTTTTTAAGCTTTCTCCCGGAAAAGGTCAGAAGAAGGAAGCATGCCTGG